CTGCTAGGAGCTTTGTCATCAGCAGGAATCCCAGGAGGTCAACACAGAGACAAACGGCTGGAGGCCACATGAGAGACACAGACACAGAGAAAAGATGGACACGAGAAACTGACCTTATGTCGCACCCCTTTCAGGAAGGCAGCTCCTCCTGGTACTAGGGTTGCTTTTCAGGGCGTTCAGCTAGTTAGCCTCCCGCGGACCCAATGTTCCCGCCTGAGTTTGCTGGTCCTCGGTGTCCAGAGCGACAAACGATACAGAACGAACATACAGAGAGATACTGACCAGAAGTCACTCATTCAGACAGGCTCCGGAGGTTTGAGAAGAGAGGAGGGCGGGGCTGCATCCCAGCCGAAGCAGGGCTGGACAGCTCCGAGCCTTCCTGCACCAATGTAAAGTCGGAACTGAGGGACAGGGAGGAAGATGGACATAACTGGCGGGGCAAGGGAGAGCAGAAGTAGGAAGAGCTTTAGTAGGGGTTAGGGGAGCTCTGGACGAGGTTCCGTGACCTAGGCCAACAGGTCAGGGAAGGTTGTGCTCAGCAGTTGGGGGCGAGGGTTTTTAAAGGAGTGGTGAGCAGAGGTGCTTGTCGACTGCTGCTGACCTCTGGGACGTGCCCAAACCTGCTTCAGCTTAGTCCAAACGGGGGCTGCCTAGTTCCGACCTGACCCAACACTGGGGACCTCATGGAGAGGACATACCTACCCTGCAGTCACACCAGGTAACTTAGGTGGGGCTGACTTTTGTGAGTCCAAGCTAGTGGGTATGGCGTCAATGCTGGAACAAATGGATCTCGATTCTTGTGCTGCTCACACTAGTGGCCACTTGTTTTCTTTCTTTCCATTCTTAACCTTTCGTATACTTTTATTTATACTCTGACCCAAGATCACCCCCAACTGCTGTCCTTGTTTCTGAGCCCTCTGCAGCCCTCTCCAATACTGGCCCACACTATTGTGTCATCAGAAGTGCCCACCCACTGCTGTCAAGTCTCATTCACAGTGACATTATAGGATAGAGTAGAACGACTCCCTAGGGTTTCCATGCTGCGATATGTATGGAAGTAGATTGCAACAGCTTTCTCCCATAAGGAGCTGGTAGCATATGCCAACTTTCCAGGTAGCAGACAAGCACTTAACCATGACACCACCAGGGGATGCATGAAATGTAGACATGTCTGTAAATACTCCTTGAACACTACTAACTCCTTACTTTTAATCCATTTTTCTGAACCTGGGCATACTTCTGCATAGTGTTCACTGTTTACCTACAACCAGAATTTGTCCTCTCCTAACAGCGTTAACATGCATCTCACCAACATTTCTCTATTTTCAGGCTGTTGGCATGGAGTGAAGGATACAGAGGCATCTGTGCTGAGTGCTTCTGTAGGAGTGCCACAGGAAAATGCTGCCAAGCAAGCTTTGTCTGACCAGACAGCCTGTCCTTGTGATATATGTGGCCCCATCTTGAAAGACATTTTGGACCTGGCTGAGCACCAGGGAACACACCAAAAACTGAAACCATATACCTGTGGGGCATGTGAGAGACACTTCTGGTTCAATGCAGACCTTTACCGCCACTTGAAGCAGTCCGGCATAGAGAATCCCTGTAAGAAGAACGAAGGCAGAGTCTCAGTTTGTGAAGAACGTCACCTGTCTGAGAAGGCTACTCCTTGTGATGGGGAATGGAAGCGCTTCCAGGCAAGCTGAGTCAGCCTCTAAAGAAAGTTCACTCCGAACAAGAGGAAGACATGCAGGAGGAGCACTGAGGATGGGGACATTTTCCCTGTGAACAAATGCATCACAAGTGCAGTGAATGTGGGAAAGCATTCACCCGAAAAGATACACTGATTCAGCATAAGAGAATCCACACTGGAGAAAGGCCTTATGAATGCAGTGAATGTGGGAAAGCGTTCAGCCGTAAAGACAACCTTGTTCAACACAAGAGAATCCACACTGGAGAAATGCCTTATAAGTGCAGCGAATGTGGGAGATACTTTAGTCATCACTCCAACCTTATTGTACACCAGAGGGTTCACACTGGTGCAAGGCCTTACGAGTGCAACGAATGTGGCAAAGTCTTCAGGCACAAATCCTCACTTGTTCAGCATGAGAGTACTCACACTGGAGAAAATCCTTATGACTGTAATGACTGTGGGAAATCCTTTAGCCATAAGTACATTCTTATTAAACATCAGAAAATTCACACTGAAATAAGACCTTATGAGTGCATTGAATGTGGGAAATTATTCAGTCAGAGCTCTGATCTTATGGCACACCAGAGAGTTCACACTGGTGAGAGGCCTTTTGTGTGCAGCGAATGTGGGAAAGACTTCATCAGAAGTTCCCACCTTGTTCGGCACAAAAGAGTCCATACTGGGGAAAGGCCATATGAGTGCAGTGAGTGTGGGAAAACCTATAGCTTAAGTTCCCACCTTATAAGGCATCAGAAGATTCATGCTGTAGGAAGGCTGTAGGAGTGGTGGAAATGTGCACTTGCTCTTGTTCAAGACAACCGGACTCACAGGGAGAAGCTCCGTGTTTTACCTTTGGGAGGAAGCCAGTGCTCAAACGTTAAACTTCATATACTGGAATGTACAGTGGTGAGGTACCTTATGTCAGGTACATTGGACATGTTTAGGAACTGTGTTGTGCTTTGTAACATGCTCAGGTTCCTTACTGAAGTTGTGTCATGGCCAATGTCGGGGGCCGAAACCATCTCAATTCTCCTCTCTCAGGACCTTAGTGACCCCACTTACTTCAGGGAAGGCAGATCTCTGTCCCATGTCTGGAGGGAACACAAGAAGCCCAAGTCAATGAGATCCTTATTCTTCACTCTCTGTCTGGTCTAACTGTGGGCAAGACCCTTCATTGGCCAAGAGGGTCTGAGCTGGGCTCTGCTGGGGCTGTAAGACCTATAACATCCAGAAAGTAAACAATTGGTTCAGAAATACTGGGGCGAATAATAGGGATTAGGAAAGGCTGCAGCAAACTAGAATTGTCATTTAAAAAGCACATCCACAATCATTTTAGCCACTGACCGGCTAGAATGAGGGTATACGGAGATTCTCAGCTTCTCCAGAGCTATGTGAGAGTAATGGTCAAGGGTCACTGGCAGAGCAAAGACACCATTACTTCCCTGGACTAGTTCCACAGGTCAGAACCTAGGATGGAGAGATCTTGTAGTCCAGGGAGGTAGCTTATTTACCCAGAGTTCCTGAGGACTCCAGTGGAGATTGCCTTTAGTGCTCACCAGGTCTTTCAGCCACTGAGGTTTCTATCCTCAGAGATAGAGATGAGCTATGAGATGGGATCACCAGCTGCACAAACTTCTGGGTTTCAAATAGAAGTAGGGCATTCAGATTTCATGTGGCGTCATCTTTTAGTGAAATGTAATCAACACGAAGTAGGCTGCACACATTTAAAATGAAGCAAATGCATTTTGATACATATATAAACCTGTGAAATCATTATCCTAAGCTATGACGATGAACATACCCATCCCGAACTTACCTGTGTCCCTTCATATTCCTCCTCTCCGTGTCACTTCAATTTCTCAAGGAACTGTTGCTTTATTGATATAAATGTGCATCATCATCATGAATTTTACGTAGGTGGAAGCATGAACCATTTCTGCCTGCTGTCTTTCATGCAACATAAATATCTTGGAGTTCATTCATGCTGTGATGAAATCTCTCTTCCTGAATTCAGGCAGACCTCAGATGTGGGCTCCATTTTAGGTCACCCTAATAAAGTGAATGACAATAAAGTGAGGTTTTGTTGTTTTTTTTTTTGCTTTCCCAGTCCATATGAAAATTATGTTTAAGTGTTTAATTGTATTATGAAAAAGCTTAACATTGTGAAAATTGCCAAAATGCAATAGATGTGAACACAGTGTTGTCAAAATGGCACCGACAGACTTGCTTGAGGCAGGGTTGCCACAAACCTTCAATTAAACAAAAAAATGCAGTCTTGGTAAAGTGCAATAAAGCAACGTATAAGAAAAGTTTGCCTTTATAAGGAGCCTTTGTGGTACCATAGTTAAGTCCTAACTTGCTATCAGAAAGGTTGGCAGTTTGAACCCACTGAGCTGCTCTTCAGGGGCAAGACCTAGAGACTACTGAAAATATTACAGCCATGAAAACCCGTTTGGGTGTGCCACTCGGTCACAGGGCACGGTTGAGTCAAAAATATACTTGACAACCTTTTAGATTTAGAACCACAACAGAACATTTCCGTTGTATAGACCATTCACGGTGGACCAAATTTCCTGCATTCAGTAGGCTTTAACAAAGGTAAATCCATTGATTTAGCGTCTAGCTCTCTGAGGATGAATTGTTTGGCCATGCAAGGGTGGAAGGCCCAGTAAAGTGGACTTCCAAATGCCCTAGTTGATTCCTTGTAGAATAGTGGCACCGCAGAAACGCACCGCTTCTGGTGCAGCTCTGTGTGGTGGTTGACGCTGCCGCAAGCACGTGTTGCTATTACTTCAGGACCACCTCAGAACTTGCGATTTCCACCTGCTCTTAAATTGATCTCCTTTCCACATACCTTTTCTCTGCTACACTTGTCCCTTCCCTGTAACTTTCCGCACTGTGCTGCCCTAATGATCCACGTAGCACCTTCTGGCCCCCTCTGAACTCTAAACTATTGCTGATGATCTGATGTCCCAAGCCCCAGTGACACTTCAGCTGTGCGGCTGCCTGCAAGCCAAGGCCTAATGATCCCTCTGGGATGCACTACAGCTGCCCTGCTGAACCGTGCTCCAGCCTCCTCGGCAGTACTTTCATTCTCCCGGCTGGGGAAGGATCTCTCACTCTGCACACTTGATATGCTTCAAACTCGGTCCTCCTACCACGAATTATAGTGTCGTCACAAACCATATTAAATGGATATCCTTTTTTGGGGGTGCACATTATCTGTAATGGGCAGTACATACATTATAGTTTGCTGATACCTGTTCAAGCCAATGTTCAATTTTAAAATTGACCGGATTCATAAAAAGGTAGGACTCAAGTAGAAAGCAAATGTTTTGAGAATGATGGCAAAAAATGTACAAATGTGCTTGACACAATGGATGGATGTATGGATTGTGATAAGAGTTGTACGAGCCCCCAATAAAATTTTTTTAAAAAGAAAAAAACAAAACTAGAAAAAAGGTATTTGACTTACATTGAACTGACAGACGATGGTGTCACTCATTGAACAGACCTTGTAAGTTGGGGATCACCTCTGTTAGTCAGTTTCCATCTTACCTGACCCCCTGGCTTTCCCGCCGAGTCCTCTCCTCCCTTGGTTAGTACACCACTTCCTACTGCAAACACCAGTTCCCCACAGCTGCTTCACTTGAGCAGTTTCTGTAGCCACTCTTCCTGACATCCTGTTCTTTACTGTGAAAAGGACCGGTGGTCACTTACCTTGACAAAATGCCCTCACACACCACCCTCAGGCCCTACTAAAGGCTGCCCCCATGTCCATCCATGTTTTCTCCACCGTAGCTCTGTTTGCTGAGCACCCCCCCCACACACACACACACACACACGATACTTATTTCCATTGACTCCTGGCTAAAGTGACTTCCATTTGAGATAATAAACATAACCTGGGTTGTGGAAAAACGGAGCCCTAGTGTCACAGTTGTTAAAGTACTCAGGTGCTAACGGAAAGGTTTAGTTTGAGTCCACCAGAACTTCAGGAGGTTTGCCAGTGCCAAGTGGAGCAGGAGGCAGGGAGGGGCCAGCCTCTACGTGGAAGTGCTGTTGCTAAGAATCACTGAGCTAGGTGGGAGGCTCATCTCACTCTGAGCTTAACTTTGGCCTTGTGGATTTGACATTCTGACCAGGGTGTGAGGCCTTATGCTTCCATGGTATCTCTGGGCCCCCACCCTTCTACCCCACAAATAAGGTGATCCAAAATGACAGAATGGTCACCCAGGACCCAAGGGTAAACACGAGTCTCACGGAATTCCAAAGTTAGTGGTCCCCTCCAGCCTGAGGCTGCTGTGACCCCAGCTGGCTGGTGCATTAGTTCACCTGCCCAAGAGTTTTTAGCAAGGCCCCTCTCTGTGGTCCACAGCTCATGCCCACATTCCAGTTGGCAGATCAGCTCTGGTTTGGGAAGAGTTGTCCCTGTTCCGGCTACGTGGATTTTAGTAACGTTTCAAAGGACTTGTCTCAGTCCCACGTGGTTCTTTAGACAAGGACTTGACAGGACTTCGCATGGAAGAAAGGTGAGGTCTTATCCAGAGAAGTCAGGAGTCCCCAAGTCTCCAGCATCACTTCTTGGTACAGGCTCCTCTGAGCCAGACCCAGCTGCCCCCATTCCTTCTGAGTGAAGGTCACAGACACATCCTCGAAGGTTACAGATACCTGGGAAGTGAAGGAGAAGCGGCACCATTCACACTGGGCTAGTCTAATTGCTTGGTCGATGGTAACAGGCCAGAGCGACCCAGGCCTAAGAACCCAGCCCATCCTAAGGGCTAGGCAATGAGCTGGCTTCTAGCAGGGCGGTGAATGCTGCCTTTGGGCACACCACTGATGAATGACAAAAACATTAAGAAGATTGTGAGTTGAGAAGCAGACAGTAACGGTTTTGGGATTGAAGAACAGAAAAAGTGACCAGCAACAACCTCTGCAGGGGAGCTGTGGCCTCCCAGGTATTCAGTGTGCTGTGAGCTTTGCCTACTGGGCAAAACCAACTATGACCCCAGCTCTCGTGCCAAACTTACTGGGTTGGCACCAGCCTCCTGAATCCTACCCTTGCCAGTATGTGGCCACAGGGAAGAACTTCAGTTCTTCACATCTCTTACTTCTATGCTGATTCAACAGTTGTTCCCACCTCTCCAGGTCCAACGTTCCCTTTCATTCATTCTTCAAGTGTGTACACTCAACTCGGCAGGCACTGTTCTCGGCCTGGGGACACAGTGGCAAGGGGGAAGTCAAGAGTCTAGGGTGGAGACAGATCCCCAAGAAGGAGCTAAATACATGAACAACATGCTGGCAGATTAGCCAGTGAGTTCTGAAGAAAGACAACAAAGCTGTTAGGACTGCAGGACTGGAGACAAGACAAGTGGGAACTGGGGACGGCCTTTCTGAGAGAATCTGGAATGAAGCCAAAAATCGAGCCACTTCTACAGTAAAAAACAAGCTCACTGCCATCCAGTCGATGCTGTCTCACAACAACCTTACAGGACAGGGCAAAACTGCCCCGGTGAGTTTCTAAGATCATCACCCTTGGTGAGCATCTCCTATAATAACTAAACAAAAATATAAAGACAAGCCTTGGGGAGATCAAACATCCCTGAGTGGCACAGATAGGCTATACTTGGCTACTAATGGAAAATAACCTGGTAGCACAATGGTTAAGAACAAAGCTGGTAACCAGGATTGGTGGTTTGAACTCACCAGTCATTCTGCATGAGAAAAGACCTAGCAATCTGTTCCAGCAAAGATTACAGCCTAGAACATCCTATGGGGTAGCTCTACTCTGCACACATGGGGTCATCCTACGAACTGACTTGACAGTACACAAAAGGGAACAAGAGAGGGTGTCTGTTCAAATCTAGCTTGCAGTCAGACTACAGACCGGATGATCTCTTTCCATAAGACTTATTAGTGGCCACGGAATGATTCCGCTCACGGTGACCCCACAGGTTACGGAGCAGAACTGTTCTACAGAGTCTGACAAGATGTCGCCTTCAGAAGCAGAGCTCCAGGACGTTCTCCCAGGGCAACTCTGGGTGGGTTTTAACCACCGATTCGGTTAGTTGAATGCTTTAACTGTTAGCGCCAGTCAGGCTCTCCTGCCACGGAAAACTCCATGGAGGGTGTCGTTCTACCGTGACTCACAGAGGTGGCCGTGAGCTGGAATCCACTCAAGGGCAATGGGTTCAGGTGTGTACGTAGGGTAGTCAAAGTTAACAGCCTGACATGTGAAAGAGTGACCTTGGGTTTAGTAGTTGTCTCCAAACCACCACACTTTTGACACTATCATTACTGAGTGTTTTTTTAATCATTTTATTAGGGGCTCATACGACTCTTATCACAATCCATACATACATCAATTGTGTAAGACACACTTGTACATTCATTGCCCCATTACTGAATGTTTTAACAGACACATTTCTGATGTAGGTCGATGTCTTAAGACAGAAAAACAGATTTTACTTTTCTAAGTGGCAAATTTGCCTTAGCAGATAGCAATTGCAGGACGAGCTCTGTGGCGCTCTTAGCGTCTACTCTCTGCCCAGCAGATTAGAGGCCAAATAAACCTGGGGAGTGGAGTCTCTCGGCACTCATTCCTGACAGCATCCAGACTATGGAGCCTGTTGGGTCATGGGGACAGAGCACACGTGTCCTCACTTGTTAGGTGCTATTGAGCCAATTCATAGTCACCTAGTACGGCAGAGAAGAAATGCCCCCTGGGGCATTTTCTAGGCCGTTATCTTTATGGAAAGAATCATAGTGGAGCAGTGTTTAAGCAGTCACCTGCTATCTGACCGGTAAGGCTGGCAGTTGGACCCACTAGTTTCTGTGGGAGCGAAACCCTGGAAACATGCTCCTGGTAAAGATTAGCCAGGAAAACTCCCCCACTCTGTCTTACGGGCTTGCCGAGGCAGTCGACCAAACGACTCCAACAACAATCTTTATGGAAGCGTCTCGCCAGCCACCGATTTCCAGTTAGTAAGAAAGTACTTAACCTTTGTCCCACCTGGACCCCATTCCCCTTAACAAGGTGAAGGCATTGTGAATGTTCCCAATTTCGACAAGAATGGAGACCAGGGGTGGCGGGGAGGTGGGAAGAGCACAAGTCCAGGCATTGTGAATGTTCCCAATTTCGACAAGAATGGAGACCAGGGGTGGCGGGGAGGTGGGAAGAGCACAAGTCCAGGAAGGAGCCGGGCGCCTCCTCCGAGCTGCGGCATCCAACGGAGGGAGGGCGCCGCTCCTGGTCACGCGTCCACCCCAATGGGCCGCCAGAGACGGACGCCCTCTCCCACAGGGCCCCTGCCCTGGAGCGCCGACGCCGAGCCCCGGGTGTCACTCCGCACCCCGAGACGCTCACGCTCCACGGCCGGGAAATACCCCGGGGAACCAGCACCCCGAGTCGGCACGCCGGACGCAGCGAGGGAGCCTGGGGAGTCTCCACTCACCTTGGCCGAGTTCCTCCGCGCCAAGGACCCTGTGACGGAGCGCCGTGCGAGGGGGGCGAGTCCAGAGCGAAGGTGGACTCTGCCGCCCGGCTCACACCGCGCCCCACGTCTGTCCTTCCCGGCTCGTCGCCAGACCCCGCTACCGAGGCGTGGAAAAAGCTGGACGGGGCACCGGAAGTCCCGCCCCGGACGCCGGCTTGCACGCGTGGCTCTCATTGGCTTATCGCCTACGTGGACGCCTGCGTAGGAGGCCTCCACGCGCACAGCCCTCTGGGTAAAGGTTTCGGCTCTGCATCCGGTTGCTGGCTTCCTGCTGCTCTCCCTGATTGCGAGCTGCCGGGCGCTGGGAACAGGTGCGCTCCTTCTTCAGGGGAAGACGCCCAGATGTCCGGGGCTGCAGTCGGCCCTGATCGTCAGAGTTCCCGCGTGGCCGGGAGCCCATTCGGATCGATAGCCACTCTGTAGCGGAGAGCAGGCCTGCCCCTTGGGTGTCCGGCCGGGGGTGTACCTGTTGACCAGAGCGAGCAACCGCATTTTCCGCCCGGAGTGCTGGCGGGGTCCGACGCCGGACCTTTGATTAGGAGCCGAGCGTCTAACCACGGCACCCCAGGGCTCCTGCCATTGTTTTTAGGGTCCTGTTATTTCAGACTCCATGAAAGCCCCACAGTGGGATTTACCTGGGCACACTATCCTGTCACTTAATCAGCCAAAAGGAACGCTGATGGTGACCGGCCGGAAGGTTAGGGATAAAGGGGTTATATCCACCAAATGCCTGCGCTAAATGAAAATTAACTGGTCATGCCACAATAAATGGATTTGAAAGCAATCGCACACAGGGGAAACCTATTGGGGAAGATCCAAAGTTGGGCATGCGCAGACTAAAGTTACCTGAGTTCACACTGGAAACGTAGCAACACAGCGTCGTGCATGCAACTAAACTCAGCAACTGACAACGGCCAATACCTTCCACAACGGGGTAAAAAGCAGAGGCAGAAGGCAGGCACTTTCTTTCGGCGCTGGGGCTCCTCTTCTGGTTCCTTGGCCTCCCCTTTCTGGCCATTTTCCTTGTGTGTTTTTGCGCTCCCTAAAAGCGGCCTTTTCAGTTTCACATGCTTTCTAGGGATAGTGTGAACTACTGTAGTGACCTAATAATATGAAGAACTCCATTTTGTTTCAAACTGCCGTTAACCCCTGCTAGCGGCTAGTCCCCCTTCTCCTTTTCCCTCTCCTGCTCCCCTAAAAGATCTTGACTCTTCAGAGACGTCTCCAAACCCTGCCTGCCCAGTTAGCAAGATGCGAACACTATCTTGTAAGATCTTGAATTAGCGCCTGCGGCAGTGCTGTTCCCCCAACCCTGTTACCCTGCCAATCTGATAAGAATGTAAGGACTAGAATATCCTTCCCCTTGAACGAGCCCCCTATTTTGAACTATAAAACTCATGGAATTTCTTTGTTCTGGAAGAGAAGTTTCCAGGTGTTAGCCTACTCTTGGTTCTGCTGTTTAATAATTATTAATATAGTGATATAGTTGGTCTCGCCCGATTACAAGACAATATGTGATTGTATTTCCTGAAACTTCCTCTTCCCTCATAAAAGTTACTTGGACTTACAAATGTGCTTCTGCTATGTGAATTTTTTTTAGCACTGAGAAGCAAGAACCGGGGAAACATCCCAGAAATCTAACAATGGTGCAACGCTTAGTGGTGGGCTGTTAACTGAAAGATTGGTTAGAACCCTTGCAGTGGCTTCACACGAGAAAAACTTGGCAATACGCTCCCAGTAGGACTGAAAACAAAAACCCCAACTCACGGCCATAGGGTCAATTCCAACTCACGGATAACCTACGAGGCGGGTTCAAACTGCTCCCTAGGGTTTGCGTTAGGGGACAAAAGAGACCCCAATCTCAAATGTAGTTTAAGGAGAACATTACGTCTTAAGTGGGGGGAAAAGACAAGGTATAAAACACATTATCCAGATGAAGGAGACGATTAGCACAGGCCAAAATGACATTGAGGATTTATAGTCAGGAACCTAGTTAAATAAGGCAGGGAACAAGGAAACTCACAAACTCAGGATCAGTGGTAGAACAGTATATCACAGTTACAGGTGGGATTACAGATATGGGAACAAGTGCATGATTGGATAACGTGCTTTCTGTTAGATAGTTGGACATCCAATAAGGATGATTGGAGAAGAAGGGATGCAGTTGAATTATGATGCTGGCAAAGAAGATAGAAAGTCCCATGGTGTGGGATATAGAAAGGCTTTTCCCCAGTTTGTCTCCCCCAAATATATGCCAAACCTAAGAGGCTGCTTGCCAGCACGTGGTGGGAGGTCAGATGTTTGGAGATATTCTCCCTAAAGGCATCAGCCATCCAGAGCAATCAGACTACTCTCTGGGGCTCACTGTAGGTGGGGCTCACACCCTACTGATAAGGACAGTGATCGTTTCCCTGGAGAGCTCAGAAAAGGTCAAACTAGCTCAGTGACATCCAAGATTAGGCTGTCATCATGAATCTATGATCTGCCCATCTTGTCACATGTGTACTCTTAATCCCTCCACTGCCTATTGCGTGTACACCGCTAGATCACCCCCCTCCTATTGTTGTATTACCTATAGTACAACCCCTTCCTGTGACGTATGTGGTTACCTGTAGTCTGGGGGGCTTGGATGCCCCCAAGCATATATAAACCTTGGTTAGAAATAAAGCTCCATCCTCTCTTCTCTCCTCTCCTCTGCCCGCTCTCTCCGTGGACCTGGCTGCTGAGATCATGGCCATCCAGGAGGTGAGCACACTACCATGAAATGTGTCTGACTCCTTTATTTCCTCTCACTCCTATCTCTCATATTCTTTATGACTTTACTATGATCTTTATATAGGATAGCTGTACCATTGCATCTATGGACCGTGATATTTGTTAGGGGCTGGTCTCCCCTGACACCATGGCCAACCAAAAGAACAAACAAAAAGGCAGCAAGCAAGAAAGATCAAAGTGAATGTCAGAAGAAACGCTGAAACTTGCACTTAATTGTAAAGTATCTAAAGCAACTGGAAGAAAAGATGCAGTCAGAGGGCTGAATAGAAAATTTCAAAGGCAGCTTAAGAAAACAAAGCCAAATATTATCACAGAATATGCAAAGCCCTAGGACTATAAAGCCAAAAGGGGAAGAACATGCTCAGCATATCTTAAACTGAAAAGAGTTTGGGGTGGGGGAATGGGGAGAGGAGCTGATACCAAAGACTCAATAGAAAGTAAATGAATAAATATCTAGAAAAGAGTGATGGCAACATATGTACAAATATGCCTGATACAATTGCTGTATGGATTGTATGTAATAAGAACAGTAAGAGCCCCTAATAAAATGATCTTTTAATTAAAAGAAAAAAAACTGAAAGAGCTCAAGAAAAAATTCAAGCCTTGAGTTTTAATACTGAAAGATTTAATGGACAAAATGTTGAATAATGTAGGAAGTATCAAAAGTAAATGGAAAGAATACATGGTCACTGAACTAAAAGGAAGTACCTCCTGACATTTCATCATTTTAGGAGGCGGAATATCAGCAAGAACCAATGGTGCTGAAGGAAGAAGCGCAAGCTGCACTGAGTGCATCAGCCGACAACAGAGCTCCAGGCACTGATGGAATCCCTGGAAATGTTTCAACAAGCAGATGAAACACTGTACGCATTCAACCGTCTATGCCAAGAAATTTGGTAGACAGCTACGTGGCCAAGTGACTGGGAGAGATCCATATCGATGCCCATGCCAAAGAAAGGTGATCCAACAGAATGCTCAAGTTATAAAACAATATCACATATAACATTGCAGTGAAATGTTACTGAGGATCATCCAACAATGGTTACAGCAGTACAATGACAGGGGGCTGCCAGAGGTTCCGGGTGGTTTCAGGAGAGGACGTAGAATAAGGCGTGTCATTGCTGATGTTAGATGAATCTTGGCTGAAAGCAGAGAATACCAGAAAGCTGTTTACTTGTGTTTCATTGACAATACCAAGGCATTGGATTGTGTGGATAGTAACAAATTATGGATAACTTTGAGAAGAATGTGGATTCCAGAACATTGTCTCATGTGGAACTTGTACATGGATCAAGAGGCAGTTTTCCCAACAGAACAAGGGAATATTGAATGGTTTGAAATCAGGAAAAGTGTGTGACTGGATTGTATCCTCTTACATACTTCTTCAATCTGTATGCTGAGCAAATAATCAGAGAAGCTGACTTATATGAAAAAGCATGCGCTTCAGGATTGGAGGAAGGCTTATTAACAACCTGTGAGATGCAGATGACACCACCTCGCTGGCTGAAAGCGAGAAGGACTTGAAGCCCTTGCTGATGAAGCTCAAGGACTGCAGCCTTCAGTGTGGATGACAACTCAATGTCAAGAAGACTAAAATCCTCACTACTGGACCAATAGGTAACATCACAGTCAGTGGAGAAAAGGTTGACGTTGTCAGGAATTTTGTCTTGCTTGGATCCACAACCAGTTCTCATGGAAGCAGCCATCAGGAGATCAAAGGACACATTGCATTGGGCAACTGTTCTGCCTAACACCTGGTTAAAGTGTTGAAAAGTCAGAAGGTAACGTTGAGGACTAAGGTGGACCTGACCCAAGCCATGGTATTTTCAGTTGCTTCATGTGCATGTGAAAGTTGGACATTGGATAAGGCAGACTGGAGAACTGTGATGCTGGCAAAGAATATTGACAGTCCCATGGGCTGCCAAAAGAACAAGCACATTTGTCTTGGAAGAAGTACAGCCAGAATGCTCCTTAGAAGCAAGGATGACGAGACTTTATCTCACGGACTTTGAACGTGTTATAAGGAACGACCGGTCCCTGGAGAAGGACGTCAGACTTGGTAAAGTAGAAGGACAGGGAACAAGAGGAAGGCCCTCCACACACTGGATGGACGCAGGAGCAGTAACAGCGGGCTCAACCATACGAACAATAGTGCGGATGGCATGGGAGTGGGCGGGGTTTCTCTCTGCTGTGCGTAAGGCTGCTGTGAGTTTGACCGACTTGATAGTCCCTAACAACAAGAACAACAGCTATGGTGCTGCCTGAAGAGACGCTGTCATGACTACACTCAGAGGAGACACTGGAAGCAAAAGACCTGTGGGACTGTTAGCCTAGCCCCTGTGGTGCTGCCCGAGGGTGGGCGCCGATGGCTGCTTCCCTTTGGTGCCACTGAGATGGCTAGTGCCTCAGGGCCCAGCATGTGTTACAGAGTAGAACTGCCTCACAGAGGTTTCTGTGCTTTAATCTTTCTTTTTTTTAAATCATTTTATTGGGGGCTCATACAGCTCCTATCACAATCCATGCATACATCAATTGTGTAAAGCACGTTTGTACATTCGTTGCCCTCATCATTCTCAAAATATTTGCTCTCCACTTACGCCCTTGGCATCAGCTCCTCATCTCCCCTCCCCCTCTCCCTCCCGCACGAACCCTTGATAATTTATAAATTATTATTTTGTCATATCTCACACTGTCCAACATCTTCCTTCACCCACTTTCCTGTTGTCTCTTCCCTAGGGAGGAGGTAATATGTAGATTCTTGTAATCGGTTCCCCTTTTCCACCCCACCCTCCCTCCACCCTCCCGGTATCGCCACTCTCACCACTGGTCCTGAAGGGATCATCTGTCCTGGATTCCCTGTGTTTCCAGTTCCTATCTGCACCAGTGTACATCCTCTGGTCTAGCCAGATTTGTAAGGTAGAATTGGGATCACAATAGTGGGAGGCGGGGGCGGGGGGAAGAAGCCTGGGCTTTAATCTTTATGGAAGCAGTAATCAGGCCTTATTTCAAGAAGACTTATTTCATGAACTGCCGAAATCTGGTTACCATTTGACCACCAACCACATGCACCAACGGGCTCATCATGAGGTGGTGATAAGCCATCTGAGATCATCACATGACAGAAATGGTCAGATTATAAAATAGTAAATTATAGAGCTGCAGAGTCTCACACTTTTAACATTTAAGTTTCAGCTTAAGGTACACATTCGAAGGGATTCTAAACAAGAATCCTGACGCAAGATCAGTGATAACAACTTTTTGATCCTTTAGATGCTTGCTCTGATATTAATTTCAGATTTACTGGAATTATATTCAACTACTTATGAAATTATTGTTCTAAATGGTTTACTACTTTTGGTAGCTCAGAAACATCTGCATTAGCGTGGGAGTCCTCTCTCATCTAGGGCTCTGTATTGAGTGTCTGATCTAAAGTCTAGATGCATAAATACATATGGTTAATGAATACATTTACAAGGACACATTATCCAGAGAAGAGACTATTTGTCATTCTAACTACAGCTTAGGAAAATTTATTTTACTCATCTGCCAAGCAAAACTGAGCCTAGACATCTGGATGAATCTGCTGATCAGCACAAAGGAACTACAGGTGGGGAAACATGCAGCCACAAACGTGCTGACGTTGTACATCCTGGCACTTGCTTTACCAATGAGCGCCAAGTAAAATGCCAAGATGGACGAGAGGAAATAAGAGGAGACGAAGATGATCACCATCACCAGGACGGTGTGGGTGGCTCTGGTCTCGGGGGAGCTTTGGTGCGAGAAGTGCTTGCTCTGAATGTGTTGGACTTGCTGCCTGTGGCTGGACAAAGTAAGCATCATGGCGCCACTGGCCCAGACCATGAGTGCAATGAAAGCAAACTCGACGGCGGCCAGCAGGAGGGCATAGAGCACGATGCTCAGTGACTGCCGGAAGTTACTAGTGCAGTACACATAACGAGTGTCCAGGGTAGAGTTCCGGTCAGGGCGTGGTCCGGTTACATTTAAAATAGTCACAATTTGTAGTAGAAGATTGAGGAGCCAACAGGTGAAGCAGGACGATACAACGTGCTCCGAGGCTTTTCTTTTGAGCTCCGCCCACCTGGGCGCGCTGGAGTTGATGGTGAGGGCCTGGAAGCAACTCAGGAGGCACGTGGTGCAGAGGGAGGTCCCCCGAGCCACGCGATGAAAGTAGAAGAGGAGTTTACAACTCATGTCACCAAGGAAATCTTTAGGCCCCAGAGCTGCCACGGTCTGAGGGATCCCCTTAGAAAGAAGCACCAAAGTATTGGCTGCACACAGGTGGTTGAGAATCCGGTCGACAGGCTTCAGTTTGTGTCCAGCCAGTAAGAAGGACAGATAAAGGCACAGCAGTGAGGAATTCCCCAGGAGTCCAGCGCCAGTTTGGAGGAGGAAGATAATCCCAAATAGCAAGTCACTGGAAATCATCGGGCCGCTGGTCATAGATTGAAAATTATCCTCAAAGTCGGAGAAACCTGGAATGGGAGGGCGGGGAGCCTTGAAGACAAAAATATGTCATTTGTAATTGCTTCAGATTAAGGGAAGTCGACCCCCAGCTATCTAAGAAACCAGCTTCTGACTGACTATGTCGGGGTTCGTGTCATTAGACACTCGTGAAAGCTGGATATTGAGCGAGGAAGATGGGGAAGAATGAAGGTGTTTGAATTGTGGTATTAGCAACTAATGTTGAAATCACCATGGGCTGCCAGAAAGACAGATTAATCCATTTTAGAAGAAGTGGAGCCACAGTGCTCCTTAGAAACAAAAAATGGTTGACCCAAATTCTACCTTACAATCCGGCTAGACCCAAGCATGTACACTGTACAGATAAGAGCTGGAAACACAGGGGATCCAGGACAGAGAAATGCCTCAGGACCGATAATGGAAGAAGCAATACCAGGAGAGTGGGTGGAAGGTGGGGGGAGAATGGGGGAACCGATCACAATGAACTACATATAACCCCTTCCCATGGGGATATCAAGGGTTCATGAGGGAAGGAGGGAAGGGAAAAATGAGGAGCTGATACCAAGGGCTCAAATAGCAAGAAAGTGCTTTGAAAATGATGACGGCAACATATGTACAAATGTGCTTGACACAATGGATGTGTGTATGGATTGTGATAAAGAGCTGTATGAGCCCCCAATAAAATGATTTTTAAAAATGGTGAAACTTTGTCTCATGGACTTTGGACATGTCATCAGGAGAGACCGTTCCCTGGTAAAGGACATCATGTCTGGTAGAAGGGCAGCAAGAAAGGATGGCGGTCAAGGAGAGGAACTGATACAGCGCTGCAATGATGGGCTCACACATAGCAATGACTGTGTGGATGGTACAGCAAAGGGCTGTGTTTTGTACATAATGTTGCTGTGAGTTAGACTGGCTCCATGGCCAACAGTACAACAACAACAACAAATTCCACCCCCGTCCCTGCTTTGCATCCTTTCCTTGTGAGGACAAGCTACCTGGACTGTAAAGTGTCTATGAAGCAAGTAGCGTAAGACGAGGGACTGAAAGGAATATCATCAGGTGACACATTTTTTTCTTGGAACTTCTACCGCCAGAGTTCTGATAAAGTCAACAATAAATGCTGCATTTTGTCTGAGTATTATGAATTCCATGGTGATTAAAAAAAGAATAAAATTCACAGTTTTCACTTTCTAAAGTGTAATGGGAGCAAAATTAAAGTTGTCATTTGGAAAACTAAAGCAGTATATATTAGGTCAAGAGAACGGGAGGAGCGATCAACAAAAGTGAAGGAATTACAATTGTTCTTAGGGTCTGAAAATTTTGTGATATGCTTAGTGTAATTGTGTTATATCCGCAGTTGAGTGATCTTATTTTCTTAAACATGTCCTTACTTTCCCTAAAATGGAGTAAAAGGAATTTTATCTTAAAGTCTACCAGTGATGACTCAGAAAGAGTAATTATGTCAATTTAAGGGTCAGGATGCTTCAATCTGTTATACATTCAGTTGGAGTTAACTCAATTGAAACTCATAGGAATGACCTGCTTACAGAAATTGGAAAATAAAAAGAAATGCTCATGAAATGCCCACCTAGACACGAAGGGCTTACTGAGGAACAGCATTTCCAATCTCAAGACACTTGAGAGGACCAGGGCTTCTAACAGAGCTGTAGGCCACATTGCCTTTCTTACTCTAAGACTTGCTTTTGCTCCATGTGACAGGATGGACATGTTTTACATAAGGTTGTGCAGATTAGGGTTCATTAATGTCGAGAAATGTGGTTTTGTCAGGCTCCGTAGGCACAGGTACTTAGGTGACGTTAGCAGTTAAGCCAGTTCTCAGAAAACACCTCTTTTGCTCTGCCTCAAGTAAATGTTTATTTCCCCTCCTGACCACTTTGCTCTTTTCATAACTTTATCCAGCCTGACCCCACGGCTGGCTCTGCCTGACCCCATCATTTGAGACGATTGTCAATTAGCTGCCAGTTCTGTAAATTGCAACCCATTATGAACATTTTGGCTGCCTCCTGCTTGTCTTTATAAACTGCTGAGAATGAGCAGCTCTCTGGAACACTTGGCCAAGAATGTCTTGCCTGTTTCCCAATTTTACAAAACTCTCTTTTGCCATGGTAAACTCTCCATGTTCCATTTTAAACAGACTTCTGTTTATTTTTTCTTTGCAATACTACTCATAATTTGAAATTTTTCCAACTAGACTTTATTTGTATGTCATATACAGGCATGCAGCATATAATGTCTATTTGAGTAACATGTGACTTCATATACATCCATAGTCCCATAAGGTTATAATTAAGAAATCAAAGTCACTGCCATTGATCAAGTCAGTCCTGACTCAGAGAGACCCCTTTGTGGGTTTCTGAGACTGTGATTGTTTAGGAAGCCCAGTTTTTCTCCCTCAGAGCTGCTGGTGGTATTGAACTACCGACCATGAGGATCACAGCCCGAAGTGTAATCACTACACCACCAGGGCTCAATACATGATCAAAAGCCAAACCCAAGCAAACCCACCGCCATTGCGTTGATTCTGACTCATAGTGACCTAGTGTGGGTTCCCAAGGCTGCACATTGCTGTAGGAGCAGAGAGGCTGATCTTTTCCCCACTGAGCAGCTGGTGGGTTTGCACTGCTGACCTCGCAGCTAGCAGCTCAAAGTGTAATCCACGACAGCACCAGGGCTCCACAGTGATCACAGCGTGTAGAAATCCAGAGGACAGTGGTATGTAGCTGGATGCAACAGCTCCCTTCGCGTAACATGTGTACGCCATGCGTCTTGTATACAATGGGGTTGGCTGCCAGCATTTAATAGTACAACGCAAATGAGATTCCCCCACTCTCCAGACAGTGTGTTCCTATGAAATATTTCGTAAGCCAACGTGGCATAAAGCACAGAAGCAATGATCATTAATTGATATGTGGAAAAATCCTTGAATGTTTCCATTTCCAGAAAACAACTGCCAAATCATACGAAATAACACACAAAGCACAAAACAACACTGCAAACGATGACACACAAATCCACTGTCATCAAATCGATTCCAACTCATAGCAATGCTTCCTCAACAGCCCACCAGGGTGCGCAACAAAGAATTAGAGCAGGACTCAAGTCACCCGTCAGGTCTGGAAATCAACTTATCGCCATGGGCCAACTTCTGGACAAATTATAGTTCTGTAAGGGGAGTGATGACACTAGGAAGGTAGGCACACTTAGGATGATCAGCCATGTGAGATGAAAAGGATGACATGTACGCGGTGGCAAGGTTCCCTGGACAAGTTCCAAAGGACCACACGCACCCAATGGCCCAGGGCTAGGAAAGAAGGAGGACCGGAAACAGGAAACACAGGGAGCAAGTGGTGTAAATGATGACATCGTGGGATTGCATCAATGACATGAAGCAACTGTGTATGACTTGTTGAATGGAAAAAGGGTCTGCTCTGTAAACCCTCACTCCGTTCACAATAAAAATCAGAAACAGAGAAGAATGAATGATATAATAAAGCAGAAGTCATGTACGCCCAGCGTAGTTCCTGGGGAGGAAGCGAGTCTCTGCACTGGGGTGTGCACGGCTGCTTTGCCCACTCACTGTGAAACATACTGAATGCTTGTGACCTTGTTACCTCCTTGACAAGTGACAGCCCTCTTCGGATTTCTTTCGCTATGAAAGCAGATATCGACCTGGGCCCTTTGGAAACGCCAAGTGACATAAATCAAATGGTTAGAAATCAGGGAATACCTGCTTAACTTATGTCTTCAGAGCTGTGTTAGTCTGGGTAGATTAGAGACAAAATTCATAGACATTCATATTTCACAAGAGAGAGTTTTATATAAAGGGTAGGTGTACATTAAGAAAGCATCCCAACCCAGTGCTGTCCAAGCCCATAAGTCCAACATTAGCCCATAGGTCTGACATCAACCTACAAAGTCCTCCTCCATCTCACAAAACACACGCAATGACGCCAACTGCAGGAGGCAAACTGAGTCAGTGAGCGTGTAAGCATCTCAGTGTCGGCAGGGGTCTCCAGCACCCAGGGCTGCATCGGGGTAGGGCCATGTGGCTTCTCCTCAAGGATGTCTTGCAGGAAGTGAGCCGTGCCAGCTGAAGCTGAGAACTAGCTAAGACAGCTTCACCCTGGCCTGACCATCAGAGACAAGAGACAAGACAGGCGAGGCTTAATGAGCCATTTAGCTCTCCACCCTAAACTGTCCTTCAATTAATCCCACATGTGTTCATTGGCCAGGTTGGCACAATAAACCTTAACTACCACAGTCACCATGATTAACACCTATAGTACTGGCTTATGGACAAGGTGGCTTCAACAAGTCTGTGGAAAGATTCCACTGTCTTTTAATTCCATTTTCCACGAAGGCCCCCTTCCTCCATATGCACTGGACTGAAGTCGCATTCACTGCCATCGAGTGGATTCCAACTCACAGCCACCCTATGGGGCACAGCACAGCTCTCCCTGAGGGTTTCCAGGATGGCAAGTGTTTATTGGAGGAGAAAGTCCCATCTTTCTCCTTCAGAGTGGCGAGCGGTTTTCAACTGCTGACTTGGTGGTTAGCAGACCACTATGCACCCACTGGGCACCACCAGGATTCCTTCACGGTCCTCTGCTTTCTATCCTTTTCATAGGAGCTTTTCCTTCATACAGACAAAGAGGTTACTGCATAACAGCATGTGCTTTAACCTACAGACAGCAGCAGCCAATGTTGGGTAGCGCTTATCTGTTGAGTGTCTGTGGGATTATCACTCCGCTTAGTAAAAAAATATTATCATTAAAGGCTTTGAAAAAAGAGGAAGACCTTCCACAAGACAGACTGGCCCAGGGCTGCACCCGGGGGCTCTGAAGTCAGAGCACCTGTGAGAAGGGTCCCGACCAGGCAGCGCTTTGTTCTGCTGTACACAGCGTCGCTGAGCGGTAACCTCCTCCAGGGCACCTAACAAGAACACAGTGCATTGTGGGTCCTAAAGGCAGCAAAACCAATGGAGGTAATAGTAGCTGCAAGAGCAAAGGAGGAGTATCCATTTGGAAGTGAAACAAACGTTACCAAGCAGTCCGAAGGTGGAAAATCAGCGAGGAATGCTATTGCTCCAGATGCAGGCATTTCGGCTAAGCATCTAATACTGTATCCTTGCGATGACCAAATCACACAAGATCCTATTTTACAGAAATGGACCATGGACGCTAATCAACACACGCTTGTCTGGAGAAATGCTAATATTGGGCCATCAGGGGCCAGAAAGAAATCTTGATTATTTCAAGTGGGCAGCTGTATCTGCTAAGTTCAAACACACAGAAGATAAAGAATGTAAACACTGGTTTGTATACTCACCATTAGCAAGGATTACAATTTTGAATCACGAAATGACATTTTGGAGAGAGATCACACCTGATCTGTATCTATCACATCATATTGCCCAATGTCCTTTCTTTTCTCTGTACCCAACACCCCCTAAAATGCCATCCATACATCCACACATCCTCGCAAAACAGACTCAGGGCACACAATTCAGAATTTTGGAGAAACTGGATAGAAGGTGGTTTACAGAGAAGAAACATGGAATGAAAAGAGTGTGACTCTGGGGGAGAGAGAGAGAGAGAGAGAGAGACCCTCGGTTGGAAATAGACTGACGGTCTAGAGAGAGAAGAGAGAAAGAGTGCACAGTAATACACCCCCAGACTGCCAACAAGGGCAAAGAGAGCCTGCTAATGAGAATATTTCTTTCATGAACTAGAAGACATAACATTGACACACAAGTCTTGATTCATTGTATGCTGACATGTAATGGGAAACCAGCAGTAAGTCACAATTTCTGGTTAAGTTGTATTTTTTTTTAAGTTTATCATTGAAACAGTCATTCCAGAGGAAAACACAGTAAAGGATGATTCAGACGCACATTGAAATGCTGTGATAGCTCGACCTTCACAGTGATCCTCCCTCCTTCAGAGAACAGCCTACACCTGCAGGAACACGTCTTCGAGGTTTTATAGATTCAGGCTTAAAAACACCATGCTGACGGCAAAGGACCCGACTGCAGGTGAATGGGGGCGGACACTGTCAGGGACACAGATGAGTGAGGGGACAGATGGAAACACAAACCAGAGACGCGCGGAAGACAACGAGCAGCCCTTGGACTTGAACACCAGTGTAGCTTTGTAACAGAACCAGCCCCGGTGTGGCTCTTTGTGAGGAGCTTGGGCAGGAAAAGAGAAAAAAAAGACTTAACAAGTTTTTAGGTAAACCAGCTGAATGGGTTTTTGCTGCTGATTGCGGGGGGGGCAGGGGGTGGGCGTCAATAAAAGTGATTCGGATAAAATTTAATACAAGGACAGAGATCGCCAGAGAAACAGCCCAGGGGCAGCCTGGTCTTGTGCTCTGTGTCCCTGTCGGGAGTCTGTTCCCCGGGCAGGAGGACGGTATGAGCAGGCAGCCTCCCCAATATCCACAGCAATGGCTCTGAAGCTTACACATTCTACGACCTCGTCTTCATCGACTGCCTTTGAGCCAAGTCAGGCCCTGACACAGCCCGACCCACCCTCTGGTTCCTCATTCCTTTGGAACACTGCCTGAAATTCAGGGACGTATTTTAGAAGTTCCATGGAATGTGTCTAGGTTTGGGCATTAAATTCCAGGGCATACAGACCACGCACCACCTCCTGAGAGACTCCACAGAGAGACCGGGCTGTTGTGGACCAGCTCTTTTCTCTCGTGGAGCTGACTCAGCCTCCTGATTCCCACTGATGAGCACAGAGTCCCCCTGGGGTTCTCTTCTCGGGTCCTCCATGTTCCCATCTGAGGATGGGCAGCCTTTGCCCCAGACAGTTTGTAGACTACCGAGCAGGAAATCGTTGTCGAGATTACAGAATTCCCTGAATCCATGGAAAATCATGCCCTCCATAAAGATGGCATGTACTTAAAGACATCTAATTTCATGAGCATCAGTGGCTGTGTGACCTATTTTAGAATGGACATTTCAAATAAGTAAATATGGAGGACATAGAAAGATACTGTATTTTTATTCGGAAACACTCACCCACTGATGTCTGCAACCAGGAAGATTCGCTCACACTGACTACCGGTGTGTGGGTTGTGGGAGGGCACCTGGATCCTGAATTATAATAATGAGGACCGTGACCTCACGTCCCTGCAGATCTGAGATGATCATGTCAGCTGCCACCGCAGTGACAGGGACTGTGAGGGGATTTGGGGACGTCTCCTGGAGAAACTCATGTTCAAGTTACAATCATCATAACAAGCAACCAGCATGTAATGAGCAAATCCAGAGAGAGTACACTATGTCACAGAGAAAGTTTACTTTGAGATCATTAAGAAAGGGAGAGTGGGCGGAGAGCACTGGATCAGCAGGAAACAAAGGCCCTGTCTTGGGTTACTTGTCATACAGATTTTGAGTTTGTACCATAATCGAATTTGCAAGATCACTCCGGTCCCCGACAGCCCTCTCTGCACCCCCAGAAAAACAACAACAGAACGCCGGTACACTTAGATGTCAAGCAGAAATTTTAAATTTTCTAAAAAGACTGCAGAGGAGATCCTGCCAGACCTCATCCAAGTGGAGTCTGCGCTCAGTTAGGCAAGACCTCTGAAACAGAGTTAGGCTGTGACCCCCCCTGAGGAGATTCATGTGGAGACATACACTGTATATTTTAGACTTCATATTTTACCACATTTCAACATTCATCTATGTCCCCTCCCTGTTATCAATCAATTTAATATTTTAATTCATTTCAGTGGAACATGCTGACATCAGACACTTCAGTGTTCAACAACATGGTGTGCATGCCACCACTAGACTTCACCTTGGTTGTGGGGCCCATCCACATACAAGGAAATGCACACACCTTAGGTGAGCCACGTGACGAGGGGTTAGACCCACGGACACCTAAAGCACATCTTAGCCTCCTCGGAAGTCTATGCCTCACCTTCCAGATGAACCACCTTCCCTCCCCCAGAAGCATATGCTGGTGCATATGCCTGTCCCAGAAAGCTGCATACGTGCACTCATAGTGTACAGCCTCTTCAGTGTGACGTGTTTTCTACAGCATTGTATTGCTTTACACGGATCTCCTTGATGGAGTGTATCAGATCTATGGTTAAAACAGGTCTCTTCCATCCCAGAGTAAAACCTCAACTTATTAATAAACCACAGCTGGTTTCTCCTTTCCTCAATTCGCAAATCTCTGGACTATTTTCTGTATTTGCTAATTATAAATAAATCTACTATTTAAATTGTTGTATAAACTCTTTTTTTTTGGGGGGGGGTGTGCTTTTTTCCCTCCAAATGTGCGTGTTCAAATGTCTTCATTAAAACATTTTAAACAATTACTGCTTAGGTGGGATTACATTTTCTGTGTCAAAGGTAAGATGTAGGTGGGGGTACCACCCCAATAAATGGAGAAAAGCTCCCCTGGGCAGAGCTTTAGCAGTACCCATTATTCCACAAAGTGAGCAGACAGCAACTTGCTCTGAATTAGTGCACCCAGTGGCATTGCCTGGGCAGGTTCTCTCTGGTCACAGTGAATTTTTTTGTAAAATCAGTTTTGCTTGCACCTCGTTTCTTGTGATGGCTGATTGAAGAGAACAGGGTGCAGCTGTGAAGTTTTGTTTCATGATCTGGAAAAACGCCAGCGAAACTGTGGTCATGTTGAACACAGCTCACAAGGACAGGACTACGGGAAAACCCAAGTGTGTGTGTGGCTTTCTCATTTCAAAAATGGTGAAATGTCGATTGATGACAAACCTCATTTTGGACATCCGTCAAGTTCCCAAACAGACAAAAATGTCGCTAAAATTCACGCACTTGTGTCAAAGACTGATGGACCACTGCCGAGATGGGGAAGTTATCTGGATGATTTTGGAGCTTGGCTCAGTGAATTTTAACTGAAGATTCGGGAATGAGAAGGGTTGAGGTGAAATTTGTGCCTCGGGTTCTGACTGACCAGGAAAGAGAGTGTGGAGGGAAACATGCCATGCTTTGAAAGAACAGCTCCAAAGTGATCCAGGCTTTTATTTCTCCAAGGTCATTAGTGGTGAGGAGACATGGTGCTCTTACTCTTACGACCCCGAAAGCAAATATCAATCAAGCCAGTGGAATACACCATCGTCACCTAACCCAAAAAACTCATCAAGTAAAATCAAAGATTAAGACAAGGCTCATTTTTTTCTTTTGATGTGAGAGGAATAGTGCATTTGGAGTTCTATTATTTAATTTGATTTAGTTCTATAACTTAAGCATTCTTTTGGACCACCTTTCTTTATAATTGGCACATATATGGATCTTTTCCAATCAGTTGACCAAGTAGTTGTGTTCCAAATTTCCTGGCATAGATCAGTGACTGCTTCCAGTGCTTCAGCAGCTTGTTGAAATATTCCAATTGGTATTTCATCAGTTCCTGGAGCCTTTTTTTTGCTAATGTTTTCAGTGCAGCTTGAACTTCTTGCTTCAACGCCATGGTTCTTGCTCATTTGTTACCCCCTGAAATGGTGGCATGTCAACTAGCTCCTTTTGGGACAGTGTCTCTGTGTATTCTTTCCATCTTCTTTTGATGCTCTGACATCACACAAGATTCTCCCATAGTATCTTTCAATAGTGAAACCTGAGGCTTACATTTTTCTGGAGTTCTTTCAGATTAAGATTTTCAGCTCTAGATGTGGGCACATTGCACTACAGTATTTTACTCTGTCTTCGCCAGCTCCAACGTGGAGTTTCTGTCGAGCTGCTGCAGTTGCTCGCTCCTTCCGTTTGCCTCACTTACTCCACCCCATGGAGAACGTGTCACAGCCACCCTTCTCACTCAGATACTCATGCTGATCTTTGTCCTCGCCTGTCTTTTTCACGACCGTTTCCTTTGTTCATGTCTGATGTTCTTGATGCCCTCTCAGCACTTACCTTCTTGAGACGTCCGCAGACTTTACATACGCTATCTTGGCTCATGTGAAATTGTTTAGATTTTGTTCAACTTCAACTGAACTTAGGAACGAGGAATCGAGAGTCTGTTCTACAGTCAGTAAAGTTGGGTTAGTCCGGTGGACTAGAGAAACAAATCCACAGACACTCATGTGTATAAGAGAGAGCTTTATATCAA